CCCACCCCCAAGTCTCACACCCACACCCCTCCAGGTCTCAAACTTCCCTGGTCTCTACCCTCTGCCACCACCCCACCCTGGTCTTAGGGTTGTCTGTGCTGAGCTGACTTTTCATGCACAGCTCTGCCTCCTTGCGGCCTCTCTTTGAGAAGCCCTTTCTGAGCTTCTAGACCCCTGGTCCTCTCTGAAAATGCCTGTGGCATTGTGTCTTCTCCCTAGCACTGGGCATAGGGGCCGATGGTCTCCATCTACTGGCTAACTCACCCCAAGCTGTCCTTATCACAGAAGCTACAGGATATGGATGAACGCCGGGCCTCTCGCTTGGGGGCCGGGTACCGGCTCCTCTCTGAGGCGGAACTCCAGGTGGTCCCCATCATTGGCAAATGCTTTGAGGGTATGAAGGTGGCTGCGGAGTCCGTGGATGCTAAGAATGTGGGTGCCCAGTGTGGATCCATTGGGGTGAAATGTGGGCTAAGGGAAGGTGGCCCCCAAAAGTAGCCCTTTGATCAAGCCTCTGACTGTCCCACCCTTGTCCCCTCCCGCAGGACTCTCAGGTCCTCATAGAACTACACAAATCAGGCTTCGCCCGGCCTGGCGACTTGGAATTTGAAGACTTCAGCCAACCCATGAACCGCGTGCCCTCAGACAGCAGCCTGGGCACCCCGGATGGCAGGTCGGAGCTCCGAGGAGGCTCGGGCCGCAGCCGTGCCAAGCGCTGGCCCTTTGGGAAGAAGAGCAAGGTGGGGTCCGAAGCTCTTGGGGCGAAGAGAGGGTGAGAAGGGGGACAGTCAGCCGGGGCCACCACTGAGTCAGCTCCAGCCACCCGGACAGGGAAGCCCTGGGCAGGAATTTTCCTCTTGGCTATGGGCCCAGGCTGGAGGGAAGGAAAGCTAGGAGGTGGGTTAGCCAGCTGGCTGGTTCCTCTAGGATGAGGAGGACAGGGTGGCTGGCCTGTGGCATCTGTTTGCTCCTTCCCAGAATGCAGTGTGGCCTCAGGGATGGTGTGACAACTGGTGACACTGTCCCTGGGAGACCCCCTTCCCTATCGCCATCTTCTAGACCAGTTGGACATCCACTGCTTGTGCCCTGTCTGTATGGGACTTTTGGGTCTTAAGGCCCATTGTATATCTTGCTGCCCCTCAGCTTCTCCCTCCAATGCCCTGTCTCTTCCTAGATACCTTTGAATGGGCTTCTTCTTTTGGTCTCTCTCTCTTTTTTATTTTAGTTTTAAGTTTAGTTTGGTTTGTTTTTTTGGAGATTGGTTTTTTGGAGAGTAGCCTCAGCTGACCTGGAACTCACTATGTAGACCAGGCTGGCCTTGATCTTTCAGAGATCCACCTGCCAGTTTCCTCTCCAGTGCTGGGATTAAAAGTATACACCACCACGCCCAGCCTTATTTATTTTGTGTATGTGGAAGTTGATTCTCTTCTTCTACCATGGGGGTCTTGGGGATGGAACTCAGGTCCTCGGCCTTGGAGGCAAGCCTCTTTCCCCACTCCTCTGACTGGGCCCTGGTTCCCACCCTCCTGTCCTTCGTCAACACCCTCCCACCCCTGATTTTCTGTTGCTTTCACAAATGCGTTCTGTTGATCGTACATTTCAGTTGTGATTTTACCTTTTTTTCCTCTTTCTCTATTTTGTTTGTCCGGTTTCCTGTGTCCTGTTCATCCATCCTTCCATCCATCCATCCATCCATCCATCCATCCATCCATCCATCCATCCTCCGACTCTACATCCTCTCACCTCCATCCCTCACCCATCCCCCCTTCCCTGGCCCCCACTGGTAGCCACGTCCCCCACCTCTGTCCCCCCTGGGGGGTCCCCTACCCTTGACATTGTCTGATGGATCCCCGTCCCCACGATCTGGCCGTGACCCCTTGGCTATACTGAGCGAGATCAGTAAGTCTGTCAAACCGCGGTTAGCATCCTTCCGCAGCCTCCGGGCCCGTGGGGTAAGTGGAGGCCGGATGCTGGGATCCTGAGCTGTTCTCGCCGCCTGCTGGGTCCCCCACTCCAGCTTTGCTCTGTGCATGGCCTCATGACCCCAAAACCCTGCCAGGGGAGGAAGGTGGACCTAGTGGTCTCAGGAGTGAGAGAAATGCCTGAAAGTGGAGGGTCTTGGGTCCTAAATTCAGTGTTTGTCCTGCATTGCAGACAGTGGCAACCGAAGATTTCAGCCACCTGCCCCCGGAGCAGCAGAGGAAACGGCTGCAGCAGCAGTTGGAGGATAGAAACCGGGAGCTTCAGAAGGAGGTTGACCAGAGGTGAGGGTGCTGGGTGGGGGTGCTGGGTGGGGTGAGGGTGCTGGGTGGTTGTGAAGGAGGAGGGTGACCTGCAGAAGAGACTGAGCAAGAGTGCTCAGAAGCTGGGCTGTGGTCGGAGGTGGAGCCTGGGCCGTGTACCTGAGCCTTGGGTTCATTGCCAGCACCACCAGGGGAAACAGTGATGAAGTGACACGCACAGTCTTGCCAGCCAGGTCTAGGCTCTAGTGGTGATCTGTGTGTGTGTGTGTGTATGTGTGTGTATGTGCAAGTAGTGCTTGTGTATGTCTATGTGTGCATATGAATGCTTGTGTCTGTGTGTGTACATTTGTGCATGGGTATATGTGTGTATGTCTGTGCTTGTGTCTGTGTGTGCATGTTCGTGAGTGCTTGTGTCTATGTGTGTGCACATGTGTCTGTATGCATGCGTATATCTGTGAGTGTGTGCATGTGAGTGCTCTTGTGTGTCTGTGTATATGTGAACATGTATGTGTCTCTCATGGGTGTGTGTATGCATATGTACATATGTGTGTGTGCATGTGTGTTTGCATGTGTGCATTTGTGTGTGCATGTTTTTGTAAATCTTTGTGTGCATGTCTGTGTGTCTGTGCATATGGAGATAAGAAGTCAACTATGAGGTATCCACTTTGTGTTTATTTTTGTGGGGTGTGCATGCTGGTACACCTGAGTGTGTGTGTGTGTGTGTGTGTGTGTGTGTGTGTGTATGTATGTGTATGCACATGCACAGAGGCGGGGTGTGTGTGTTGAGCATCAAGTGTTCTCTGTCACTTACTTGTTTGAGGCACAGTCTCTCCCAGGACCGGGACCTTGCTTTATTCTGCTAGGCTGGCAGCAAGCCCCAGGAATCCTCCTGTCTCCACCCCCATAGCACTGGGGTTACAGGCAGGTGTGTGGCCTCAGCTTGTTACGAGGGAGCTGGGATCTGAACTCCGGACCTCAGGGTTGCACAGCAAGTGCCATCTCTCCAGCCCCCCATCTTATCTTTTTTTCTTCTTCTTTTTTTTCCTTTGACATAGGGTCTCCCTATAGCCCCAGCTTGTGTGGAACTCATCAGGTAGCCAGGCTGACCTTGATCTCACAGAGATCTGCCTGCCTTTGCCTCCTGGGTCCTGGGATTAAAAGTGTGCGCCACCACACGTAGGTTAACTCATCTTTTCTTGGGACAAGGTCTCACTGAGTGGTCTCAGCTGGCTGGCCATCCAGCCCCAGGTGTGTCCGGCCTCCACTCCCCAGCCCTGGGATTATGAGCATGTGCCACTATGCTGGTTTTTTCTGTGGGTTCTGGGACTCAGACTCACGTCCTCATTCCTGCAGCACTTTACTGATGAGCCATTGCCCCAGCCCCACCTGGTGGTTTTACTGGTGATTTCTGCCACACAGCTGGGGGTGGCAACACCTGTCTGTAATTTCAGGCTGAGGCAGGAGGATCTTGAGTTCCACGCTAGCCTGGGCTGCATAGGGAGCTACACGTAAGTCCCTGCCTCAAATTAGCAACAGGAAAAAAAAAAGTAAATGAAAGAAACCATTACTTTCCATCTTTTATAAGTCATTCCAGCAAACAGAAAATGACTTCAAGCTGCCAGCTCGTTTAGAAAGCCCTGGAGTCTCAGTTCCTATATCAGTTAGCAAATTCTAATCTCAGATATAAAATGCCAGTCAGGCAAATCTAATGGTCTATTAGAAAATAATTCATCATGTGGTATTGGATGAGGTAGAACTTCAGGCTTAAAAATAGCCACATTGGGGACTGGAGAGATAGCTCAGTGGTTAAGAGTACACGCTGCTCTTCTAGAGAATCTGAGTTCGAGTCCCAGCACCCATGTCAGGCAGCTCATGACCTCTTGTAACTCCAGCTCCAGGGGATCCAGTGCCTCTGGCTGCCCTGGGCACTGGCACTCATGCACACACACACACACGTACAGATAAGTTTAAAAATAGAATAAATACAAACCAGGTGTGGTGGTGCACACCTGTAGTCCCAGCACTTGGGAGGCAGAGGCAGGTGGATCTCTGTGAGTTCAAGGCCAGTCTGGTCTACATAGTGAGTTCCAGGACAGCTGGAGCTACAGGGAGACACTGCTTCAAAAAAGACCAAAAAAAAAAAAAGAATGAATACTAAGAAAACCCAAATAGTCACAGTGGGCTGACGAGAAAGCTTAGTGGCTAAAGGCGCTTACAACCAAAGCCCCAAAACCTGAGTTCAATCCATGGCTTCCATGTGGTAGAAGGAGAAACCCAATTCCTGGAAGTTGTACTCTGACCACAGATATGCTGTGGTATGTATAAACCCTCACTCTCAGGCATACCTAGGCATATGCAAATAAATTTTTAAAAATTAAAAAAATAATTTTTATTA